CTCATCAATTAACGATGTAGATACACGAGTCCCTACATGGGGGCTGCCATGTTGTGTGCGGTAGTCCCCCCCCTGTAGCGGCCGTGAGTGGCGCAGGCCGTGTGAACAGCTGGTGTAGGGCCGTGTGAAGATACGGTACGCAGTTAGTTCGGCTCGGGAATCAGTTGAGGGAGAACTTGTAGGGCAGTTTGTCCCGGTAGCCGAGTGAGGGAGGACTCGTCAGGTAGTATGTAGCCTCGTCCACTCCGTGTGTATGCATGGTGTGGGGTGGCCTGTGAGCTGTGTGTGGGGCGGGTATGGTGACAGTTAGCGTACGAGTACCCGTGGTAGAGAGGTACTGTTTGGTCACGGTTGTTTAGCGTGTGGCTTGCCTCATGGGTGAGAGAGACAGGCGCGTCGGTTACTTGGTGAGTAGGCACTGGCGTATTGTCCTGTTGTTGTGGGGCGAGTAAATAATACAGTACTAGTAGTAGTCGAATATTAAATAAGTTGGTTTAATATTCCTAGACTAGAGTACGGGTATTGAGAAGTATTAACTCTCGTGCACGGCTGCATGGGAGGAGAGGCTGCCGGTTACTGTAGGTCTTTGCCCAGCTGCGTTCATAGTTCATTCTAATTGTTTAACCTCTGTGCTTACCCTGGGTATGCACTTTTTATTCAACGTAACGTAAGGCCAGCAGGCAAGGGTGGGGTTACCCCGTTGTGGTGTCTGTGGTGTGTGTCGCCCCTTGTCTGGCCTGGTTGACTAACTCTACGACGCACCGAATCGGAACACGGCGGAACGGGTTATTGCGGGAGCGCAGTAGCACTGAGGCGCTCAAGTGGCTAGCGGAGTCTGGGTGGCGACGATACAGCCGTTTCAACGCCTCCGGGCACAACAGGTGAGTGAGAAACACTAAGGTTGTTGCTAGTCACTAAGTATCGACCGGTGGCGCCATCCGGTGTCGCCGGGAGAGCACGAAACGCTACACTGGTGCCGTGCCCGTGACCAGTGTAACTTCAGCTGTGGTTTGCCGGTTGTGTGTTAGTCGTAGGGTGGTTTTGAGATGCCGCCTAATGGTGCCGCTCATGAGAGGCGACATCTAGGCGTGGTTATTCACCTGACCTTGATTTTTACAGGGTCGGTGTCCAGACACGGGTTGGTGGACCGGTAGGAGTTGGTTTGACTCCGCCATCGTCCCTTACTCCACGTAAAGGGCGGGAGTTGGTAAGGACTTCCCCACGTCGTCGTGAGTTGGTCACTTTGTTTGCTCTGCTCGATGACGAAGCAGCAGCAGCACGCGCTGAATGGTTGCCTTCGGTGGCTCGGCTGTTGGCCCTGCTCCACGCACCAGGCGTGTTTCTGGGTGGGTCAGTGAGGACCCATTTTCTGCTCGCATAAGGCAAGTAGACGATATGGCGGGTTTCGGGCACCGTGAGGGTGGCCCAGTGCCCTCTCAGGCTCTCACAGATAGGGAGGGCCACACTCAAGATCTGGGGGGAGGGTTAGCGCAGAGTTCGCGTTCACCTTTCCGATGTGGAGGTCGTGAGAGTAGGGTATGGTTAGTTTACCCCTCCTCATGGGAGACTTTCTGAGGGATTATGGGTTTTCCTCAGAAATCTGGTGTAGCTATGGTTAAGGGGAGCCCTTCTCGGGTAAGGCTGTTACTTGATTGGGAGGCTTCTACAGCGGTTGATTGGGTCAGCTAGGTCTCTTTGCTGGGGCAAGGTTAATAATGAGCGACGAGATAACGGTTGGTGGGTTTAAGCTTCCCCAGATGATGTAGTGAGGGTTGTTACTGTAGATATCCTGAATGTCTATGAAGGTGCGAGTGCGCCAGTCTCCTGGTTGGGGGATGGGGCTGATTATGTTGACGCAGGTGTTGGTGGAGAGTCTGGTGGTCCGGGGGACGTGGCGGGTCAATATGCATATGATCCGCGCAGCGCGGATTCCCAGGTGAAGGATGACACAGGGTCGGACGAGTTTGATGGCTCAGGATTTTCTTGTTCTAGCCTCAAGACACAAGCGGTGAAGTTGGGGCAGGTGGTTGGCCCTCAGATTGGTTCTGGGGAAGTTCCTGTTAAGCCACTGGTAGCCGGGCAAGCGAGGGACCGTTTGGGTGGTTTTGTGTTCTCTAACCCAGTGCCTCGTGCACTGGGTAAGAGGGTAGTGAAAGCTCCGTGTCACTACGGTTATGCGTCCCCGTAGTTGTGGTTGTCAGACCGAGGGGTGACTGTTGGTTCGTGGGGAGCAATCCATATTATGGTAGCTAATTCACGTTCGTGTAGCGGCAGTCTATTCTCTTGCCATGGTTGGTAACGATTCCATGCAGTCTGTAGTTCCCGGATAATGTTGTCGTACCATGTTAATTCTTGGTGCGGTAAGGTAACCCTGGATGTCGTGTGTGTCATGACCGTCCTCGGTAGATTATTCTCTGGGTTATTGTCAGACCGAGTGTTTCAGGGCTCGCCATAGTAATTTGGGAGGCTATGCTGTCTGTTCCGCCCGGGTTGCGGCGTTTTGGCCTGCGGGACAGGCCTTGGGATGCCGATATATCCGGTGTGTTCCCCTTTTCCGGGGTGGTTTCTGATAATACTACCTCACCTTGCTTGAGTGCTTGGTAGCGGTGTAAGCTAAGGCTGGACTGGTTCCCAGGTGCGTTTGAGTCGCTAGGGCCAGGCGCAACTCTGGGCATCCGGAGCTCCGTGGGGGGCCAGGATGACAGTCTCTCGCCAGTAGCTTGATTCGGGCGGACTTGTAGGGGCTCTCCGAGTTCCTGATCCGAGGCTAACGCAGATATAGGGGGCCATGGGGCCGGCCATATTGCGGGGTAGGGACGGGGTGCGGGTTCCATACTGCTACGGACCCATGTCGGTCGGCCAAGCGACGACCCTCCTCCGGTTTGTGGAATGTTGCACCGCACTGATTCAGGCATATGTTAGGGAGCACTCGAGGTAGTTGCGTTACGTGTGTTCTCTAGCCGGCTGGTACGGCGCTACTCACCCACGGGCATTCAGAATTATTACCCTTGATCGGAACGAGTTTGGGGTTTGTTCCCCATTAGTGTCGGAGTTTGAGACGGATTCCGGAGTTATCCTTGATAGGGCTCACAACCCCACCCCGTGCCCCGGTGAGAAGCGCCGCCGCACATGCAGCGACGCTTAGGCAGGCAGTGTCGGCGATCGGCGAGGAAGGCGCGGAGGAGGGACAAGCCAGCACCGAGATAGATCCAGCTGGTCTCCTCCACGTCGGGTGCCGGTGCACCGCTAGGTATGTTTTTGGGATTGTCTGGACAGTCGATCTTGAAGGGGGGAGGAGTGTAGCGGTGGCACCGGACCCTCGGGTTCCCAGCAGGGTGGCTCCCTGGGAACCGGAGTGTGGGTTAATGTTCCGTGTTTGTGACTGTATAATTATTTGTGATGTCTGCTGTTTATTAGTGTGCGTTTTCGTGGTGTTTTGCCGGCTCATCAATTAACGATGTAGCTGCACGAGTCCCTACATGGGGGCCGCCATGTTGAGTGCGGTAGTCCCCCCCTCTAGCGGCCGTGAGTGGCGCGGGCCATGTGAACAGCTGGTGTAGGGCTGTGTGAAGATACGGTATGCAGTTAATTCGGCTCGGGAATCGGTTGAGGGAGAACTTGTAGGGCAGTTCGTCCCGGTAGCCGAGTGAGGGATGACTCGTCAGGTAGTATGTAGCCTCGTCCACTCCGTGTGTATGCATGGTGTGGGGTGGCCTGTGAGCTGTTTGTGTGGCAGGTATGGTGACAGTTAGCATACGAGTACCCGTGGTAGAGAGGTACTGTACGGTCACGGGTGTTTGGCGTGTGGCTTGCCTCATGGGTGAGAGAGACAGGCGCGTCGGTTAATTGGTGAGTAGGCACTGGCCTATTGTCCTGTTGTTGTGGGGCGAGTAAATAATACAGTACTAGTAGTAGTCGAATATTAAATAGATTGGTTTAATATTGCTAGACTAGAGTACGGGTATTGAGAAGTATTAACTCTCGTGCATGGCTGCACGGGAGGAGAGGCTGCCGGTTACTGTAGCCCTTTGCCCGGCTGCGTTCATAGTTTATTCTATTTGTTTAACCTGTGTGCTTACCCTGGGTATGCACTTGTTATTCAACATAACGTATGGCCAGCAGGCAAGGGTGGGGTTACCCCGTTGTGGTGTCTGTGGTGTGTGTCAGCCCTCGTCTGGCATGGTTGACTAACTCTAAGACGCACCGAACCGGAACACGGCGGAACGGGTTATTGTGGGAGCGCAGTAGCACTGAGACGCTCAAGTGGCTAGCAGAGTCCGGGTGGCGACTATACGGCTGTTTGAACGCCTCCGGGCACAACAGGTGAGTGAGAAACACTAAGGTTGTTGCTAGTCACTAAGTATTGACCGGTGGCGCCATCGGGTGTCGCCGGGAGAGTACGAAACGCTACACTAATAAAACATCCGAGAGATGGCGCTGTGGCATGTAAACATTGCGAAATGCATCGGCCGGGCATTTTATTATTTACGAAAAGTAAACATGTCGGTGACGCCCCATTCATGTCCATCAACGAAGAAGGCGGTGCTTATCCTGCTTACCGAGATGCGAAAATGCAACAGAAGGACGTAGCGCAGTGCGCTAAACAGCGTGTTATTTTCGTTTTTGTGGCAAACTCTATCGTAGGAAACCGTTCTAACATAGCAGAATGCCCTAGTTCCTGAGATCGGCGATTTGGTGCTCGAATCAGACTAATGCTATTATACCTAGAAGTTATAATAGAGTGGTGCGGCATAGACTGTGATTGGAAGACACAAAGTGTCAATCCTCGGCGTGCCTTGGCATCATGGCCGCATCACGTCTAGGTTATGTGCTAAATAAAGAATCTGAATCTGAATGAATGAAGAGTGAGTACAAGCAAAGCAGTTTTGCTTTGTTTATTCACACCCGATGTTACCATAGAACTTAAATGATATTTTGTTGTTGTTATTGTAATTGTTTGTTTATTGAAAGATTTTCATGTGTCTTTATTTTATTTCTAGGGAAATGAACAGAATGTTTCAATACCCATCGTAGAATCTGCACTCTCCAGTGGGTTGCTGCTTGGAAAACCTGTTTTAAATAAGGGTGAGTTAGACCATGTTAAAGCTGTTCGTCCCTGTTTATGTGGCAGTCTTAAGCTGGGTTTACACTATGGAAAAGTCGACAAGTTGATAAACTTTTCAAAGTTCAATCAACCTTTCTATCAGATATTCAATATTTTTACGTTATTGACAGCGAGTCGGGAAAACGTTTCAACATTTGACCCGCATGGGGACGTGTGCACGCGGGGCAATGTGGATACGCATTTTATTAATTCATGCCAGTGTGCATGGTGCCGATATCAAAAACGTGCTCCCTCACCGGGTGGAGGGACACACCTGATTGCTATTATCGGAGTGGCTGAGTTGCAAAAACTTGATCAACTCGCTGACCAAAAGTTGAGAAAATAGAACATGTTCTAACCTCTCAACTAGTTGCTATTAACTTGTTGAGTTCAAATTTTACGTGTACACTGCCGACATTCGGTCGATTAGTTGAAAAGTTGATAGTGTAAACCCAGCTTTATATTATGTGTATTTCCTTACCTCGTTACTTCGTAATAATTTCACAGTCCAAGGGATTATATTGAAAAGGAGTGAGGTCAAACAGATGGATGGATCGAATTTGAACAGGAACAAAGAAAAACAATGGTTGGAGACAGATTACAGAATACAATGGTATATGGTTTGTTAAAGGGCCGGACACACTAGGCGATTTATTCGGGCGACATTATCGCCCGATAATATCGCCCGATTCTATCGCACCAGTCGAGTGGACACAGCACTCAATTTTTGACGGCGAATTCCTACTTCTTTATGTACGCTCTTGATATTATATGATCCCTAATAGTAATAGCAAGACGAATGTTCACAAGTCTATGTACCACAAAGTGGTATCTGTATAGGTATACATGTACTTACAAACTGTTTATGTAACATTCTGAAAAAAAAGTTTAAAAAAAAAGTTCGAGTTGTACTCGGTCATCCAATCTTCTACTCGATTAATCAACTCGGCAGCACAAACGAGTAATGATTGACGAACTCGATTAATCGGAACACCACATGTACAAATAAAACGGGATCGTGACGACTTGTAGCGAAGCGACTTTTTGTATTTTTGTACTAGTGTTTAATTTAGGCCTACAGTACGCGTGTATTGTTTATCAATTTTCCCCGGTCAATTACCAGTGACGCCGAGCTTCGCCGCCATCGAAACCTTTACGGCCTCCTTCTTCATTCTGTCTCTGTACTCAGACAGGGAAATATCGTACAAGAGGGGCTTCGCCTCCCACAAAGTGATCAACTCTGCCACTTTGTCGTAGGACCACGTTAGCTCCATGGAATCTGCCATTTTGTCTAATTACGTCAGTATCATTGAACAACTCTGATTGGCTTATGAATTGTACAATCGGGCGACTTTATCGCCGACCCGGACACACTAGGCGATTTTATCGGGCAACTGAAATAATCACACGATAATATCAAAACGTTTTGATTGATGCGATTAAATCAGGCGACTAAATCGGGCGACTTAATCGGCGACGACTGACTGGACACACTAGGCGATTTTCACCGCGATTTAGTCGCCCGACTGAGTCACCCGACTGAGTCACCCGATAAAATCGCCTAGTGTGTCCGGCCCTTAAACAAGAGGAGATACCAATGTTAACATGGCAGCTATCCCTAATGAAATCAGACACCCATTTACAGGGCTCAATTTTAACAGTCGTCCGGTCGTCCGTGACGACTGGATTTTCTCTCGGGCAACTACAAATTGCTTCCGTGGTTGTCCGGTGTCCAACCTCTATAAAAAAAATTATATTCATAATGCGCGCGTTCATTTTACATACGGCCAGGGTTGCACAATACGCTGCAAACGTACATGTCTAGACGCATTGTCTGGCTTGCTTGATACAAAGTATAACATTACGTGTTTAACAACACAATGTTTCGTGTTTAACAACAATGTTTCGTGTTAATTTTCAATTTTTGCTCATCTGTGACTTGACACAGTGTTAGTAATGTTAGTAGTGTAATGTTAGTAGTTAATGTAAATTTTATGCAACTTTTAATTACTATTATTATACGTCATTGATCCCAGCATCATTTACACATTACCAATATTTTATTATCTTCATATAATGAGTGAAACAATGCGAATGGCCATGTCTGCTGTCACTGCAATACGTACAAAATGTACATGATTAGGCCTTTTGCTTTACAGCACTGAGCATCACGTGAGCAGAGCGCATGCAGCACATGTTTAAATAATATCCGCGAACAACCAAAACTCTTGAGGGACAACCCTTTTGGGTCTCTTGGTTGTCCTCCGGACAACCCAAAAAAAACCTTAAAATTGAGCACTGATTTAGGTAGGGCAGTAACATCCAATCCCATATGACCACGTTTGAGAATCAAAAGGTTAAGAGGTACCTTGTTGAAAGATATGTTGAAGTCGAGAAACGGTGTGCATCCACCTGTCATCAATACTTAGGATTAGGATTGGAGGTTAGGATTTAGAGTTCACTCATTAATAATATTGATTAACCGGGTAACAGTGAAAAAACCATGTCGGAACCTATGTTGATGGTGTGACAGAGTGTCATGGTTTTTAGCTCATCTGACGAAGTCGGATGCAGCTTGTAGAATCGCATGAATGTCCGTGCGTCCGTGCGTGCATCTGTCAACAGTTGGGCACAAATCTTAACCGCTTGACGTACGGTCACGATATTCGGGACGTCGGGGGGGGGGGTTGTAAAAAGGACTCCGGATGACAAATTTGGGGGGTCAAGGGTCAAAGGTCAAGATGTGTAAACGGAGGGGGAATATTTCTCCTTTAACTTAGTATAGGAGGAAATACGGAATTGCGGCACAAATCTCAACGGCTCAACCTATGCTTTTAATATTCGGTGTATAGTGGGATGGGTCATCACCAGTGCGAAATTGGAGGTCACAGGTCAAAGGGCAGGGGGGGAAAGGTCAGATATCATTTTTTGAGGACATGCCTTAATGGACAGAGTGAAAAACTTTACCATTTTTATCACTTTATTGAAAGGACCATGAAATGTGCTTTCCACTGACGTGCGAAGAGTAAGTGTCTGATAATCTTTTGACCCTCAAGAGGAGGGTTAAACATGGATTCCTGAACTGCTTCAATGACGTCACAGTGTTCGATCTCATATTCATGGCACATCCATAATCTAGAAACCCAATAAGCCTGGATAGCCGAACGCGTACAGCACGGGCGTCACGGCTGAAAGGTTGTTGGATCGATTTCCATCTGATTTTTTTATTATTTACCTGTTTTCTGTATTTTTCTATCTTTATCCATTTAACTATTTTTTTCCAATTGACACAAATATTTACATTATTTATTTACAACAATTTAATAACAACAAATAATTTTTACAACAATTAAATGGTTAAAAAAATAGGGTTAGGGTTAGGGTTACAATGCACCATAAAACAGGAGTTTCAGGCACGCGATTTGTATCAACCAATGGGATTTGGGAGGTATGCAGAATGCAGAAGGTTGCTGAAATGATGTGTACGCAACTGCGTATCTGCATATCTGCACCTAACAAAGGTGTCACTATGCACGACTTAAATGTTACGTTTATAACCGTAGCAACAGACCTCAGATGAGCCCAGACGCTCTGCGGCTCTTGTTAATTAAATTGACTCATTACATCGGAATCGATAAATTTCTAAAATGCCTAACAGCAAAAGATGCGAAAGATTTTAGGCAATAATTAGATGGAAGAGATGAGCCACCACCTTTCTACACTGGGATAATGAGAGCCTGTTTCCAGTTGAAAAGAAAAGAATCTAGGTCCGCTAATAACACTATAGTCAATGTAAAATCGGTTGATTGTGCATAGGGGCACATTACACGCAACACGTGTTCGCTCTTTTTGTAACCGGTATGGCCGGTGGCACGGGATTGTAGGTAATATTGCTATTTTTAGACCAAGTCGAAGAACCCTCTATGCTCTATTTGCAATCATTGATTTAAGGGATCTCTGAGTCGGATCAATGGAGAACAAGGTGACATTAAACTGAGAGCAAAATGGTTTGAAAGAGCCTCCTCAGCAGCCTTTAAAAATCAATTGAGGATATCTTCCGCGTTTCTAAATTACACGATTTAACTGGAGATAGGTCACTATTAACAATTACACAATCATAGTTGCTAATACCAGGGACTACAGAGATAGAGGAACCCAATTTGGGAAAATTTGAAGATACAAATCAGCAATGTTGCTACAAGGTTCAGTACATCAAATTGGCTGCGTAACAAATTGAATTAATGAATGTTTAGCTTACAAATTCAGTAGCTGACTAATGGCCAGTAACTGTCACTACAAATCAATGCCAGTTAGGTTAAATTCACCAGCAATAAGGTGTCGGTGTCTAAGACTCATTATAACGAGATAAAAACGAATACATGCATACACACAACTATATACACACCCGCATCTGCACGTTCATTCTTGCAAGTTCGCACGTTGGTCACGCATCCCCCAAACTGCTTCCCATGGGTACAAAGAATGGATTTAACCAAACATTTTTATTCGGAAATTCGGACATTCCCTAAAATCATCCTGGCTATCTATCCATTCTGAGTGAACTGATGTGTGGGAAATAACCCTGGCCATGTAGGGTTTCCTATTATTTCTTCATCTAGCACAGCACTTTCTTACTCTATTTCAGTATTTGTTTATTTCAGCAGATTGTTTTCCTGCCAAATTGCACTGATATTTTAATTCTTTACATGCTTTTTTTTGTGAATCTATTCTCAGTCTACCTGACTATTGGCATACCGACAGTGACTCGCCCGACATCGCAGTACCTCAAGACGACGCTGCAGTCACTGATCAACAGCTCGGTTGCCGACGACAGACGGGAGGTCGTCATCGTCGTGTTGCTGTGCGACACGAACGCCACGAACCGCGCGAACACCCTCGCCATGATCCGCGAAAACTTTGCGAGCGTCGTCGCCGAGGGCAGCCTCCAGGTGGCGCAGCTGGTCGACGAGCAGCGGTCGGCGACGACGAGCATCAGCAGGCGCACGTACAACGACTCGGCGGCGCGCGTGCGCTGGCGCTCAAAGCAGGTGCTCGACTTTGCATTCCTGCTGCGCTACTGTGCGAACATGTCGCGCTACTTCATGCTGCTTGATGACGACGTCGTCGCCGCGCCGGACTTCATCTCGGCCGTGCGCGAGTTCATCGAGCTGCAGGCCGGCGACGACTGGGTCGACCTGCAGTTCAGCAACTTCCTCGCGATCGGGCGGCTCTACCGCGCCGAGTACCTGCCGAAGCTGAGCGCGCTGCTGCGCACGTTCTACGCCGAGCAGCCCGTCGACATCTTGCTTGAGCACTTCCGCGCGGTAATGGCGCCCGCGCTCGCCGGCGAGAAGGTCGTGCGCCGGCCGTCGCTCTTCCAGCACATCGGCAAGGCGTCGTCGCTGCCAAACAAGGTGCAGGACCTGATGGACGTGACGTACGGCACGGCGCCACGCCAGTTCAACGGCGACAACCCGCCGGCGGTCACCGTCACGAACATCACGATGTTTCAGAGCTACCACCTGATGCTCGCGTACGCGAAGGCGCCCGGAATGTTCTGGGGACGTGAGGTGAGGAAGGGAGCTGAGATTTACGTGATTCTCAAAAGGCCCGTGCCGCTGTCGAGGGTCGTGGTTGCCACGGGCAACAAGGAGCATCCGAAAGACATTCTATACAATGGCAAGATGGATGTTAGTAAGCGATTGATATATCTGCATGGAAACAGAGTGCACTGTGAGGATTTTAACTACGTTGGCTCATTCGATGATGGATTGCTTGATATTACAGACTTCTACAGAATCTTTCCTTACAGTGTGCAGTGTCTGAGAATTATAGTTTTGTCAAACCAAGAAGCATGGTTGATAGTGAGAGAGATAGCAGTATTTGTAAAAAAACTGCTCACATGAAATCAATCAAATTTCAATTAGATAGCAATTGTTACATATTACTTTTGCCCAATGTTTGTTTATGTCTTTTTGTATAATGTGCTTTGTCAAAACAAATCAATTACATAAACATATACATATAACAACCACAAGCAAATCTATTGCCAATTATAATAATCGCATGATACATTAAACAGAAATCATACACAGCAGGTGGCCACCTTCACAGATAAATACTAACCTTGTCCTCATACACACTACCGGCTTCCGACGCCTTGTCTCGCTTCCCGTCGGCCTGTCTTCTTTCTTCTTTCTCGTACGCTATTATCTCGCAGTGCTTGCTGCTGCCGTGTTGTCAGCCCGTGCACGTCTTATGGTAAGGGCACACGAGCGTATTTTATCGCCCGATCGCGGCGAATTTTAAAATCGATTTTAATCGCCCGTACGAATCGCTCGTATCAAAAATGTTAGGTATTTTCGGCCGATTATTTACGCCGGCGATTATTTACTGGCACAATGTATTATGTACAGCCCATGACGTGTGTCCTGGGTTATGAGCGAACAAATGCCTATACTCTCTCATGAGCCTGACCACACCACGCCGTTTATCCTCCGATAAGTATCCCATCTCCGACTCTAAACTGGCTAGAACGTCTGAGTTAGACAGCCTAACACCTAAAGGCTCTTTGGCAGACATCTGTCGGTCTGCCCCTTCAGACCAGCCACCACCACTGCCCTGATTCTCTACCCGGCCCGCCGGGGCAACTAGCCCTATGGGCCGGCTATCTTTTTGGTCGTAGTACCTCTTTATCATATTACCGTGGCACAGCCGTCGGGATTTCTGTCGATTCGGAGTGCCAATCACGTAGTTGACTTCACCCCGCTTTTTCTCCACCCGATAAGGACCACTGAATTTGGCCGAGAGCGGCTCACCCTGCACCGGTAGTAAAATTAGCACTATCCCCCAGTCGAAACACGAACCTGCGCTTTTCGATCATAATACGCCTTCATCGATTGCTGAGACTCTTTTAGATGTGCTCTGGCCACCTCACAAGCTTTGGACAGCCGCTCCTTAATGTTACATACATACTCTATGAGGGTAGAGCATGTAGTTTCATCCAGAAACTGTTCCTTTAGTAATTTAGGGGGCCCCCTAACCTCGTGATCGTACACCAACTCAAAGGGACTAAACCCGGTGGACTCGTTCGGCATGTTCCTAGTGGCAAAGAAGAGGAAAGGGATACCCTTATCCCAGTCTTCGGTGCACTCCAGACAATAGGCCCTGAGCATCGTCTTTAACGTCTGGTGATACCGTTCCAGAGCCCCCTAGCTGAGACTGGGCTTGGTAAGCTGAAGACTTTAGCTGTCTGACTCCAAACTGATGCATTGCCTCTTGAAACAACCCCGACATGAAGTTAGAGCCTTGGTCTGACTGGACCTCTTTAGGTAAGCCATACCGAGTGAAAAACTGAACCAAAGCCTCCACCACCACCTCAGATGTAATCTTCTTTAGTGGAATGGCTTCCGGAAACCTAGACGACACATCCATGACAGTCAACAAGTACCTATGCCCCGACTTGGTCCTGGGTAAAGGACCGATACAGTCAATTAACACTTGACTGAAGGGTTCCTCAAAAGCCGGAATGGGTACAAGTGGGGCTGGTTTGATTGACGGTTGAGGCAATACCTATCATCTGACAAGAGTGGCATGTTTTACAATACTCCACTATATCCCTGTGTAATTTAGGCAACAAAAATGTGCCATACACCGAGCCTGGGTCTTCCTTATTCCCAAGTGCCCCACCATGGGTATCTCATGGGCCAACCGCAATATTACCGATAACAGGTAGGCACCGCCACCTGGTGTACAACAGACCACTCGTCAGGAGGGGGACTGTTGGGAGGCCTCCCTTTCCTCATCAACACACCGGCCTTCATATAATAGCACTCGGGAACCTCCTTAGCCTCAGACGGGGACAGAGCCGTCTGTCTTATGTCACTTAGAACAGGATCTGCCTGCTGCTCCTCCATTAGAGAGGTGCGAGTGAACTCTACCTTTGTAGGGCACTCCTCTCCACCCTTCCTGTTACCACCTAACTGTGGGAAATTTGTTTCCACTAACCAGACCTCACACTCCTCCGTTTCATTCCGTTCCTCCGTTTTTCTCTCTTCTTGCTTCGCCTCACACCTCTGCGATCTAGTCACTACACAAGCTGGGAATATGCCTGGGAATTCTTCCCGTAACCTCTCTGTTTCCAGTTGTTCCACCCGCTCATCCGAAGCAATGGGAGAGGTGCTGACCCTATCCCCCGCTAAGTCAATCCGCAAGAGAAAACTCACCCCATCTATCGGGAGAGAGGGAACAACTCCCACGGTCACCATACCCGAGATCAAGCCCAATTTCAGATCCACCCTACACAAGCTTCCCTGTACTAACACACTAGTATTCATCTTGCCTGGAGTTCCCGGCCCCTTCTCAAGCAACATCAGAGACTGTGTCGCCCCCGTATCTCGTAGGATAACTACGGACTTAGTTTCCCTATAAAAACTTCACCCCTCGAAACAAAATTCCTATAGCTGTCTAACATAGGGCTCCTGCCATCTGCCCCGCCCCCTCTTTCGCCTTAACAGACACCACAGAACTAGGCTCTACCTCATTCGTGCCACCAGGACAATCAGCCACCGTATTGACCAGGGCAACAGGTCTCCCATAGCTCTTTCGCTTCTCGTCCCTCTGCAACTTCCAGCACTCGGACTTAAGGTGCCCTTTACCGTTACAATAATAACACGTCACCCCTCTACTAAACCCAAACCTCTTCTGGATCCCATCTGGCTGTCTAAGTGAAGCCCGTTTCCCAGATTGGCCACTATTATCCTTACTACAGAACCTCGTTTTCTCTTCTGCCTTTAGGCCGGTCTCTTCTGCCTGATGCCCCTGTGTCAATAGTCATTTTTACGACTTTTCCCTCAATCTTTACGTCGCACGTTGGTAGCTTGTCCCCGTGCTGCCTTTCACCAAACGTGTACTCGTCGTCCGAGGAATCCGACTGATGTGCTTCCATCTCCGCTGTAGAATGCTTGTTCTCTGCGACGTGATACGCTGACTGTTCTCTTCTCTGTCTTGATCTACACACTGCAGCGAAATGGTTAAGCCACCCACATGATCTACAAGACTTGCCCCTGGCTGGACATAGCTTACTTTGGGGGTGTGGATACAGTCCAGCACAATTTCGGCACGTAGCCTTCCTACCCACCATTCGTGAGGGCTTCTGTATCTGTGCAGTAGCTTCCGTCGGCTTTTGTCTAGCCTGCTGTTTCTTATGAAACGGTTTTGAATGAAGTGTTGACGGTCCTACCATCGTTGTCACCTTCAATACCACTTGCCTGTGCTTCTGACAGCTCTATAGTTCGAGATTCCCCTGACCAATGCCCACACCGACGATGTTGGGGGATTTGGTGTGGGAAAGCTTTATATACATGGCGACACAGCACACTCGCAGCGGCGAGTGCGGGAGCGTTCGGCGTTAGTTTTTATGAAGGAAAGTGGATATACAGTGACACAACAGTGGAACTGTAATTGAGAGGTACGGTAGTAGGGCCTATTTGTGAATGTGCGTTCATATTATTTTCAGTTTTTACTGACTCTGTCTCAAGTGCCTGTGTTCACTCCCTGTGTCGGGCAGCGTGATGAAAACTTCATACACTTCGTCACCAGCATAGTGTAGCTCATAGGGTCTATCCCCCAGGGTACTGCCGGAACGTACCCTGGGTACGGTCCGGTATACTGGAACGTACCCTGGTCACTATTTGATATGGTTAGGGTTAGGATTAGGGTTAGGGTTCGGGTTCGGGTTAGGGTTATGGTTAGGGAGTAGGCGTAGGCGACTCCCTAGACTCGTTAGTGGAGTAGGCGAGGTACGGTCCGGCATATTAGATAGTACCCAGCCCTCTCAGCCATAGTGTAGCATCATAGCTCTTTTCCGTTTTGGCGTGGTTATGTTTAATACTATCATCAGATTCTCCAACTTCGCCACCCATTTCGCCCATCTCAGTCCAGTGTTGCCACTGTCCGCGTGCACGGCGAACGCTGGAAATTGTGGTAGGTGGTTGCCAGCTTTCTGTAGCACAGGCACTTGAAGCGTTTCAAGAAAATATAATGCTAACTAAATACGAAATCTATTTACTACCAAATTCTTAATGTTTCTATACTCACTTTCACCTATTATTGCCGACAGTTTCCTGTATTTCGTATTTAGTTAGCATTATATTTTATTGAAACGCTTCAAGTTCCTGTGTTCTGTAGCACCAGTGCTCGTACGTAGGCTGGTACACGTAGGCTTCGATCGATATGGCAAGAAAACACGATCACCCTGAGACGTTTCAGTTTCAATTTCAGTTGCTAGAACAAACGGCTGCGCTGCTCCAACTGGCAATTGACACTGGTTATGCACTCTGACACCGCTTTTCCCGTATAGATGTGCGTTTGCTCCTTCGTTTCAACCGTCAAAACACGTGTACGTAAACGAATACAGAAAGTAAAGCATAACATACTGACTACACTACATAAAGTGTAAGCAAAATCACTGGAATTGTGTTGTACGTCACTGGGTATACACAATTGAAAACTTATTCAGTTGCTGTTGTCATATTCATACCTCCCAAATTCGAAATCATAGTTCAGTGGGTGACAATTTACAGATATTCTTTCAACCCACCGAGAAGCATTGTTTATACATTGATGTAGTGTCATAGATTGCTTTGCAGTGCGGCGGGGGCCGGATGCTTTTTTGTCTACTGATCACAAGCTGTTTTGTTTGTAATGACATGTTTATGAGTGGTGTAGTCTGACTCTATATTGTGGAGAGAACAGCCTGTCGCAGACACGTGGACGTTTTGGATCAGTTGGTTTTGGGATCAGTTGGATCTGTGGCATCGTGTGGATGTGTTTCATTTACTGATAGATGTTTAGACAATTTTTGACATTAAGTTGTCAACAGAAAGATTTATTATTTTATAATTATGGTAAGGTATTTATGGTAACATGCATACGTTCACACTTTCATTCGCAATAATGTCTAAAGCTTGAGGAACGCATGTATATAGAGCAGAGCTATATATATATTTTTGTAGTTTGTATTATATATACATATATATATCTATATATTTGATAACGTCTAAAATATAGCTAATGGTATTATTTTGTTAATCGTATACTGTATATTCTCCTTAATCCTTGATATGAGCTCCTATTGAGGGGAATTCTCTCGGTAAAAATTCTCACGCATGTAATTGTCCCAAGTAACTACAGAAGTATTAAAATGGAAGGAGGGCGGCTCTGTTGTTAGTAAATGTGCTACGGTTGGGCCATGAAATCGCCCAAAAGCTATATTATGAACGATGAAATGTATTTATGTCTGATTTATATTCTATCTTGCCGGCACTCAATTAATTGGG